ATATGGTTTATGGAGACTGTTAAAAATGTTATTAAGAATGTTACATTGGTTCGTAAGATATACGTGATTAAGTGGAACCACTTTTTGTTTTTAGCTGAATAACGGTAAATTGCAAATATCTCGCAAACGTATCCATAGAAAACAAAATTAAGTTGATTTTCGGAATCACCGACCAATTCTAAAATTTGTGATCCAGTATTATTTTTTTTTAATAATTTTCGTTTAAAATATAATTCAATCTGTAACAGAAGCCACAAAACAAAGGTTTCAAAGCTTGCAAAAATGGCAAACAAAAATTAATAAAACTTCTAAAAACTGTCATCAAAATTTCAAAATTTTTCATCAGAATATTTAGAAAATTTTCGGGTATGCAGTCCTGTAGGCCATTCAATTGTAGTCTAAGAAAGTGTATGCCTCCAGTAGTTAAAAATTACCGTTGATTTTTTAGACTTTTTTTTTGTGGAAGGTGTTGCGCATTTTCTTCCATATAACACATGATCAAACATTTTTTTTATATGAAAAATAAAATCCTCAACAAAAAAAAAATCTACAAAATCAACGGTAATTTTTAACGACTTGAGATATGCACTTTCTTAGACTACAATTGAAATGGGCGACAGAACAGCATACCCGAAAATTTTCAAAATATTCTGATTAAAAATTTGGAAATTTTGATGACAATTTTTTGAAGTTTGATAATTTTTTTTCTTTTTTGCAAGCTTTGAAACTTTTATTATGGTGTTTTCTGTTACAAATCAAATTATATTTTAAATGAAAATTATTGAAAAATAAAAAAAATAAACATAATTTGCAAACAATATCATTTTGACTTTAGTTTCTAATTAGTTGAACGCAGGTGTATATCGAACAATTAAATATTTGGTGATTGGGCGTTTTTTTGTACATTACATGAGTTGCATACATCACAAATCGTCACCTGAAATGCAAAATAACGTAACAACATCGTCACTGAAATACAAAAAGTCGTAACTTATAAAAAATAAAAATAAATCACTTTTTGATTGCTATGATGCATTTCATCGAATTACAACTCCCCACATAGTTTTATGAAAAAAAAAATAGTAATGACTTTTTCCATTTCAGTGACG